TAATTCAGTAATTTAAGTTCTATAAAATTTTCCGAACGTCTCAATTTGTGGAAAATAAAATTTCTTACTCTTTCGTATCTTATTTAATTTTAAATATTTAATGTAATATATTAATTTATAATTATATTATATTATTATATTATTATTATATAATTATATTATAATTTATAATCATATTACAATGTAATATAATTATAACGTAATGTAATTATATATTACATATTTATACATAAATACATAATTACATAATATTTATTTACAATAAAATATGATTCAAGTATATTGATATTTTTATCCTAAATTTTCAAACTTCATTTCAATAGAAACTTTTTTTTCAACATATAATAATAAATATGTTCTTACTTTGTTTTCACTGGAAAAATATTTTAGTTTTCTATCTTTATTGTATTAATTTTATTAAAAATTTATTAAAAATTAGAAAATAAAATTTCAAGTTCGTCAAAATTCCTTCGTTAATTTTGTCGACACAAAAATAAATTTTCCGATTTCTTTAGAAAAGAGCGACAACTCAATAATTAAGTTTGTCTTTGACAATATAAAATAATCGTGCACCGTAATACAAAATAGTATATAGAATGTTGATAGAAAGTATTATTTCATCGCGCTTTGATCATTCGTTACAAAAAGATCACACGACTGGATTAAAGACAAGAAAAACTTAGCCGCTGACTATTACAAATGTTTTTAAACATCTCTGCGAGTTACTAATGCGTTACGTCAATGTGCTGATGGATGACAGATACCAAACGCTGCACGAAAACGCGCGCGCGCGTGCGAGTTTGACACGAGCCGGCGTCCAAAAATTATAAAACACTTTTCCAAGAAGCAACAGCTGCTGCGAAATATTCTGTCCTCTTAATCTTTCTCACACCCTTTTCCTCTGGAATAGACAGAACCTATTATTAAGCGTGCTCAAATGTTCCTGATAACGACGTACGAAAATAGATAAATCAAAGATCTCCATGTCACGAGGTTTCATCAGAGCACTTCGCGCGCATTCATGTTCTTACACACTTAAACATCTCCGATCGTACTAAAATTCCAAGAAATAAAAAAAAAAGAAGAAGAACGTGCGTATATTCTAACAAATGTTTATGAATTTAATTCCGCTGCAATTTATCAACAATTTAATTCTGCCGCATGTTCCAAACGACTCTCAATAAAATTCTCCTGTAATCGTTCAGATCAATCGATCGAAGAAATCTTTCTTCTGGATGGCGGTCGCGAGATTATTCGTATGTACCTCGGGATGCGATGGTCGATTAAAAAGGCGTGCGCGCGATTCGACACGACTCGAGGTGAGTCGTGTGACAGCGCGGGAGATGCGCGCGCGAAACGCAAACGTGGCAGGCCGTCTTGTAAACTGCGGCCCAACGCCGCGGTACCCGTGATAACGACGACTGGCTACGACTTCCACCGGGGGACGGAACGAAAGCCACCGGCGGCGACGACGACGGTGGCGGCGGCGGCGCCGCGGCGCAAGCGTCCCGCGCGCGGTGGCTTCCGTCCGCTCTTTTCCACGCTTTTCTCCGCTTCGATTCGATCACCCGCGCTCAAAGTGCGTGCAACGAGATTTGCGCGTGACGCCCGCGCCGCCGGTGCGAACGGCTGTAATCTGATTAATTCACAAACCGCGGGATCAATCGTCCAAAACTGCGCGTGCTCTCCGTGGCACTTTGCTCACATCCGGAGAAGACTCAGTTCGCATCCGCAGATATATTCAGTTACACGCTCGTAATTGAAAATTTATTCTTTTTTTTTTATGATTCGCGATTATTCCGTGAGTCAAATGCGCGATCATGCGTAATCATGTGAAATTTTTTCTTAGAAAAAAATAGATGTTCAGCATTTAGGGTGGATACAATAAGTATTCCATGCGATATCGAAAAAGTTAAATTCCATTTCTGCGTTGAAAAAGAATATTCTTTCGCGTTTCGAGTATCGATCCATTCTTGAAAGCATTCGAAAGTTATAGGATGGTGCTCCAGTTTACTCAGGATATTAATCCGATATTGCCGTAATGAGCTTTTCAAACTGTCATTTATTTGTTCGTTCTATTCACATGTCGCATATCGCGCCAGTGACTTTTCATGCATAAAGTAAAGTAAACTACAAACTATTTTAATAATAATGTAGAACAAATATGTATTATTTATTAATGTTCGTATTGTTTCAAAGGTAAAAAGAGATAACGTATCGAAAGTATTACTTTTAAATAGAACATATAATTAAACAATAATTTATAAAAAAGGAAATTATATATACATTATATATACATTTAAAATTTTTTAATATTTTTTGCAAAATCCTGATTTTGATACCATTAGATTTATAAAACAGAAAAATTATAAATATTTGATAGGAATGAAAAAATTTAAATTTAAATGAGAGACAGAATTTTTACATTAACGAGAAAGTCTATCGTTAACCTCATTCACGAGTGTCACCGTAGTGTCATTAGCTATAAATTCCAACAAGATAAAAAATAAGAAATAATTTATTGCTCCTGATTATTTTATGCTAATCATTTTCCATCGTGTAAATTAAACATGGTGTTTTTTCAATTTGTTCAACACATATCTTTGCAAAAAAAGCGAGAACGGTAAATGAATGCGAGCAGATATTAATTCGAATCGTCAATGAAGAAACAATAAACGTACCACTTTTCATCGTCATTTGCTCATAGAATTGTTCTATTTATTTTTACACCTCTATCCGAATCCACGTGGCATCAATATGATTCATGTTCGCGAGGGAGCTATTCATAAATGATTAATTTTGCTGCAGCGTTGCCACCGAGATTACTTAAAGATATCATTTCTCGACGCGAATAAAATCATTTTCGCTTTGAACTACAGCGACGCTAAAACAAGAAGGAAGATAAGTTGTTACGTTACAAAATTACGAAGAATGAAAAGGATGATTAAGAATAAAGAGGCTAATATCTTCTCTTAGAAATTATTATTTCGTTTTTCTAAACAAGTTGCAATTTCAAACCTTTAGATGCTTGACCTTTAAGAATTTTCATAAAATTTCAAACTATTATACATCATATAAAAAAAAAAGTCTCTATAGTTCATCAATCATTCGGGAAAATGTGGTGTGAGCTTTTATTTTTATACCAAGTAATAAATAGATTCTTCCCCATGTGACGCCATACGGGTAATTTTCTAGTTCAAGGCGGCGGAGGTATTGCTGATTTTCCACTCCGTAGCGAGCCGTCACGGAATCGCTTCTTTTCATCTATATTTCTATCGCGAGATTTATTTGATAGCGCATTGCGCCGATTAGATCGCTGCGGGCGAGAAGGAAAGTGCATCGCCGGCGCATCTGCAAATGCATTCTAGCCGTGGGCGTGCTTACCGGAAGTCATAATCACGTCGCGCCGCAAGATCGCACCGCAAGAAAGCAATTAGTTCACGTCAATAATTAATTAAACTTTCGCGATCGAATCCACGACACAATACAACAGCGTGCGCGCTTCGGGATAGGAAGCAATGGAACTTTCATGTAGAGCGCGACAGAAGATGAGATGTTTCCAAGCTGAATATCTCGATATCTATCATTATTTTTATGTCGCCACGAAGAAATTAATTAAACTTCCTTCCTTCTTTTTTCACACATATCTCTTATCGTATGCTACAATTCGTTTTACCAACTCAATAAATACAACGAATATAAACCTAATCATACAAAAAATATTTTAATTACTTTGATAAATATAAATATAATATTTTAATTATTTTAATTTTATATTATTGTTTATAACAAGACTGAAGACTGAAAATTATTTAAAAAAAAAATAGCAACGATCTTGTCGAAGCGCGTAATTTCAAGAGATAATCTCGGCGAAATGGCGTAACTAGATAAATCTCGAAAAGGATTCGAAAAATTACCCCGATGTTTTTAATTAAATTGCGAGCTGCGTAATGGCGTGTGCGGTATTACATGCATATTAAGTCTAACTGGAGATACCGCGCATCCCCGCGTAATGAACCTTCAGACACCACATTACCGCGGATCGGGGGGGGGGGGCGAAAATTCCGCCGTTTCCAGCGCGCCACCGCAAATTGCATTCGACCGCGTTGCTCTCCCGTGAGGGAAATTAATTACGCACTAAACTCGTTATCGGATGCTCGGCCGATATCGATATTGTCCACGAAGATCGGTATCGATTGCGATCGTGTTCCGTTCGCGCGATCAAAGATGTCAATATTCATTATGCCCTGTGTCGGGCTCGTTTGCGTCCCACGCGAGGAGCGTAAATTAATGGCAGATTGGCGTCGTAAGCTGACAACCGCCGTTCAAATGTAATCAGACACGGGCCGAGAAACGCCGGCCCCGCCACACGGTGATTTATGTATATACGCGACGTCCGAATACCGCGTCGTTCGTCCGGAATTTTTCGCAAATTGAATACTGCATAAACTCTGTAAAGTGTATAAGTAAAATATTTAATTCCCAACTCCCACGAAATTTTTGTTGAGCGTCCCGTTTGTAAAATTCAGTAATTCTATGTGACTTTGCCATTTGTTTAACTTAATAACTTTTTTGACATTTCGAGAAGTCAACTCCCGTTCGTAGTTTACACATAGTTTACGAGTTAGTTATTTAAATACCAAATGTAAATGTCATCGTGCACAGCATCGTAGATTACGTTTTTCACAGTTTCGATATGCGAAAAATTATATTACACTGATGTAGGATTCCGCTCTCGCTTTGTGCGCACGAGTCGCGGGATCGTTTTATCGAGTTTATCCGATGCCACGAGTAATCGAGTAAACGTGGGTTGACGATATCGCCTTGGAAAATGGAATCATCGTTTTTCCGAAGAGGGCCAACCGATCTCTCTGGCCATTAAAAGTTTGCCGTGCTCGGCGAATAGTTATGAGAAACACACGATGTTGTTACAACTTCGAGCTCACCGGTTCGTGTGATCGAGTAGAATAGTTACATGCTATGTGTAACGGAGAACATACCTGATAGCTGTCGTTCCGACTGCGAGCGCGGCTGCTGCTGCAAGCTCTGAAAGTAACGGAGAACGTATCGTTAGTTCATCTGAAGAAACGGCAGCGCTTGCGGGATCGTGATAAAGAATTGAAAGGATGCTTTTAACGAATAATATGTTTACCGCGATCAACCTAACCGCGACGACATCTCGAAGTAGACATCTCGAAGCATCGCTCAAAACAAATTAATTCTCCTGTTTAATAACCGAGTAATGAAATAATGAAAAGCCCCTTTCACCTTTTCAGTGTAAAATAAAACGCGGAAAGAATTGTGTATTTATTTTGAAAACGTGTCAAGTTAACGAGTAATTTGCCGTGGGCAGAATAGCTTGTTTAATTATTAATTTAATCGTTTAAATTAATAATGTAACATTTGTATTGTAATAAGAACTGGTAGAAGAACTGGTTTAACTTAATTTATCTCAGTTAAGTCTTGCATAGAGTTACTTAACTGCTTGATTATAATCGATGACACGAAAGACGAACACTGTCCTTCGTTGTTCGAGGGTTCGAAACTTCGTCTTATTTTCCAGCAGTGAGAGATAACTAATAATCGACACGACGTTGAATCGTGACCTACTTGCAGTATTGAGCCAGTTGGCCTCGAAAACAATGGAGGAACAACCATGACCTTATCTGCATCATGCTCTACTGAACTGATGCGCCCATCGATCGATATTCTTCCGATATTCAACGAAAAAAAAAAAAAAAAGAAAGTTCGTAACTGACCTTGAAATACACACGCGATACTTTACTAATTTTCGCCTTGAAAGGGGCAAAGTAATTATTTCTCTCTACGCGGGATTACTAAATGTAAAAAAGTCAAAGAAACTACATAATAATCATAATATTAACAGGAAAAGATTCTCGATATCATAATAATGGACTACAATTTGAATGTATCCATCTCACATTAAAAATATATTTAGTAATTAATAATTTCATTTATTCAACTAACTTGAGTGAATTATTATTTTTTATGATTGAGTTTCTCGATTAGACTCAGAGGTATATCCTACATCTTCGTATGTATCACTGAAGATAACTCAAATTTAAGTCAAAACGTTTGTCACTTTTTATTAATACACATAGTTAAGATTAAACATATAATTTGCGCACCGTTTACAGCGCTGATTCTCATTAGCTTAATTATTCAATGTCTATTATAACAATCAAAAAGTTGAAGGAATGACAGTCTTAGTATTAATACGATGTGAATTCAATTCTAAAAAAAGACTGCATTTAATTTCTTTAATCTCTCTATCGTTATTTTTCAAAGCTCCGTTATTAAACTGCCATAAAATATAAATCATAATAAAATAATATAAAGAAAGAGTGACGACAAATAGGCAGTGTCACGAAATGAGTTTGAAAAATCTTGCTGTCATGCTATCATAAAATTATGGATATCTCCAAGTATCGATGTCGTATTTAAAAATCATAGACTAGCCGTCAAATATTTTTCAAGCAAAATCGAATAGGCGTGGATATCTTTTTTACGACTTACTAGGCTTCAAAGCGGATCCCACGAAATTCTCAAACAAGAGTTATATCGTTTCTCGGGATTCTCTTTACTCTGTCGAATCACCTCGCCTACAAACGAGATACGAAACGGAACAATGTGATGTAGAAAGATATGCTATACTTTTACGAAAAATTTCCCGGTAATTCTTGAAAAAATGTATCTTTTTTAAACCGCTGCATTCCGAGAAGCATATTTTATAAAGAAAATGCGCAAGGAAGGCAGCTGTGCGTCACTGCAGTCTCGGAAGTTTCAAAAATAAATATCTTTGATCTCTATTTTATTCTGCAATGCAATCTATATATAGCGTAACAATAAAACAAAAAAATTATCTGTTAAGAATATTATATAAAGCAAGGAAAAGTTAAATTATTTTTCAATGTAAATATAATATGATATTAATGGACAGAGTCTATAGATTTAAGACGCAATAAGTCGGTCATTATGACTCTTTATAATTAATTGAAATTGACTTGATAAGTATAAATTTTTAATGAATTTATATGAAACTGAATTTACGATTAAAATCTTTGCTTGTAGGAAGCTTGTAGGAAGTGGTTTTTTTTCGTGGACGTTCGACGGTCGATGATTTGGAAAAGACGGTATGTCATTTGCGATTTCCTGAGGGTGGAAGGAAAGGGGCGCGTTTAAAGGAGCTTACCTGACGAAAGCTCTCCATCGTGCTGGCCTTCGTCCACGCGTACGTGATAAACCACACTATGGTGTAGCTATATTCGAGATCCGAGGGATACCAACCGATTAATGCGCCAGCCACGGCTGGCTGCCCCATTAGCTTTGATCGCTCACCAACACGGGCAATCCGGTACCGGGTGTTCACGCGCGACTTCCGCGCTCGCTCTCGTGCAATGGGTGTTTACCGAGAGGCAACGTGCTCACTCGTGCGCGAATCTCTCCGTGTACCGACACCTCATTGATAATTCGCATTACGGAGCGCTGCCACCGTCCGCTACGAAAACTGCGGAGATAGACGCGCCGACCGGCGACGCATATTCGGCTACGTCAAAGGTCAAAGTTGCAAACGAGCTCGCAAACACGAAATGCGTCGAGGTAATCGAAGGCATCTACACCCCATCCCCCCTTTCCCTCTCCCCGCCTCCTGGCCATGGTTGCGCCGAAAATACTTGAAGTAAATAAAGTATCGACTCCCTCGGCTCCAAGTGTAACCATGCGGAGCACCGTTTTCATCGTCAAAGACTGACCTTGCACGAGTTTTGTGCGCGAAATGTGAACGACGGGACTCTCTATCCGTTTGCCGGATATTTCGCATGCGCATAGCGCAACGTGATTCAAATGGTACGAGAGAAAAATGTTGGGAAACGTTCAGGAAAACATGACCCATTTAGCTACTCAATCGAATTAGCTCGGCTCTTAAATTTAATTACGAATAATCGGCAAATTGCTACGCTGGTATCTTTTAACAGAACGAACAGCGCTGAAATTAATTAATTCTTTTGACGTTATTACTGGCGAAGTATTCGCGGAAACTTCACAAAACATGTCTATTAAAATAATGAAGTGCAAATTAAATAAAACAGAATGGTATTGCATTCTGTATTATTATAAATGAGATTAATAAAAAATTTGCATGTGTATCTTGTCATGTTTAAAGATTACACGGATTAAAATTATTTCATTGAAAAAAAAATATAGCAAGTAAATAAATTAATCACATAAAATTTTTCTAACTAATTAAACAATGTTACATCGATGTTATATCCCCAGTGTGTTCAAATAATTCGTAATAATCATTCGTTAATTCGTGTTTTCGATCTAGAATTTGTCGCTAATTCTCCACATTGTAACTATCTTCGCAAAACGCGAAGATTAATTATCTTCTTCAAGCGATTAATCATAAAAGATCGATGATGCACACGTCTAATGGCACACCCGTAATAGATCGTCTTAAGCAGAGATCGCCTTTCCCACAGAGCAACGCGCCAGTTTGCAAGGAATATACCCAGCTCTCGTGAAACAGGTGGGTATTCCTGTGTCGGAGGAAGGGAACTCGGGGCTCGCATTGCCGCAAATGTCATTCTTACGACCCACCCCATCGTGGCCCACACGAACCGCAAGGCGAGAGATACAAGAGACGCGGTAGGCTAGCCGACGTGTCGAACGGCATACGCGAGTCACGTGGGCAGAGACTAATAGCTGTCCGTGAACAGCGGATCTTCAAACCTCGCAACCGCGAGGAGGACGACGAGGGGAGGAGGGGGGGGGGGGAGGGGGAAGGATATATCTGCGATACCACGTCGGGTAATCTCGATACTGATAGCGCCGTACACGCTTCGCTGCCGCGCGCGATTAATGCCCGCCGTCGTCGTCTAGGACGATACCCGATGTAAGCGGCCGGCATCTCGCTCCACGAGTCATGCTCGAGTTAGCTATCGACATTTAAAGGACGATTCAAACCGGCGACTTGACGTCAATCGACGCTCGCTTACGTAAAGTTACGCGCGTTCGCGTTAATTAAGCGAGACGGGAAAATAAGTACATTGTTGCACCGAACTTCAGGCTAGCTCCTTTCAGACTACGAGAAGATCTCTACGGAAAACTTTTCGCTTTTCTATTCTTCATTATAGAAAATTCCCCGATCATTAAATATACAGATATGAAACATCGTATAGAACGAGGTATTGATAAAACATGTTAAAGTATAAAAAAATGGAGAACATTTTATATTTGTGTTTCGGCTTTTTTGATAGAAACGTCTGGTATTTTAATTAATTAATTTCCTAATTTCCAATTTGTACCACTTGAATTTACTTAAAGTTAAATAGAGAGGAACTCACCGGCACCTTCCCGTTGGCGTTTTTGGCGTCATTGTTCTCCAATAACGGCGCACTGCTGCTCTTCCCGCCCATTTCCACTGTCAAAGGTTCCGGCTTTAGCTGAAGACTCGCCGCGGACGGAGAGGACGGCGCTCGAGGCGGCGTTTCGAGCAGCTCGCCCGAGCTCAAAGAACTACTGGCAGTGGTGGACAGACCTATTGCAGATCAGTTGTACGGTTAGATTAGAATTTATAACATGCAGAAATAAATTATCGCAAAGTATATCGTTCAACTAGCAAATCTTCGAAACAGGACGCATAGAGCGAGCTTTCAAAATAAACGATTTACGTGATATGCATAATAAGAAGACGTAAAAATGATAGCTTGACGTTACGTGTGGGAGGAATACTTGGAAATCACGCCGACGTGACTCACATAACGGTAAATTCGTAGGCCTAGGCGTCCTGATCCTTGGCAACGAGTCATCGAGACCGCTACTGCTATCGACCGCGTCCTGCGAGTACTGATCGTCGATCTGTTTCGTTTGAGTGTGCACACTTTCGCGCTTGACCCACACATCTTGCGAGTTTTTGTCGCTTCTCGAATTCAATTTCGACGGCCGTCGTCGAATTCGTTCCCACGTCTCTTTACGGTGACATTTGCTCGGCGTTGATGCTATGAGAGATAACAAGTGCATCGAGATAACAGGTCTTCATATAACAATGATGTTAAAATTTATTTTATATATATATATATATATATATGTAATGCAAATTTTTTTTTAAGAGTGAATTATAGATATATGAAAATATAAATCATAAATGATTTGATTAATATAAAGGAAAATGTCATGTTAATAGTTTAATTTCCAAAAATAAAAAAAAAGATATAAATATGACATAATCCATTTTTTATGTTTATCGATTTTTATAAAAAAAAAAGAAAAAAATAATTTTAGCTTACGTTTAGTCAATCGACGATCCGTGCTCCTGGGTGGACTTGCCGTTCCGATCCCGCTTTCAAGCGGAGAGGCTCTATCAGTGGTATCCGGTGATAGACTTCCGGAAGAAATTTCATCCATGCTCTGCAAGAGATCCTGAGATGATGACGAAGATCTATTGTCATCGTCCACGGTATCTTGGGGAGAAACTGGGTCTAACGTGCTCTCGTCTTGTAACGATTGCGAATCTAATTGGGACTCGGCTATAATAAAAAACACATAATTTGAGAAAGTATAAACTAAATATACAATAATAATCTTACAATACAATAATAATATATGTAATATATTCAAATATTATAATATATTCAATATATTCAAATTACGAATATTGTCATTTAACAAACTTTTGTAGAATTTATCATTACGTTATTTTTAGATTCTTTTTAGATATTTTCTAATTTCTAATTTTTAAGTAAATCATTTGTAACAATCTTCTATATATCACATATTGCGCTATTTATAGAAAGATCTGAAACATATATACAACTGTGACGGATTTGAGAGATAAGCAGAGACTCAATCTAAACTAATCTAAATTATCGATAAACGGAACTTGTAGTAGTAGTCATGTATTGGATTAGAGAGAACCAGAACGGAAATAAATTTCACGAGCGTTAACTAATTCCATGAATAGTATATTAGTATATAGGCCATGTAAGTGACGCAGGATGACACGAAAATTACCTTGGGGAGAGTCGCAATCGCTGACCCAGGTGAAGCTAGAGCTTCTTGAAATCGCCGGCGATGTTTGAGTTGCCATATCGGAACAAGTGAGAGCATCCATTGGTGGGCTGTTTGGGCAACAAGAACCCGAACCATTTCGTATTCTCGACAACAAAGACTGCAGGGAAATAGGCAGCTACAAATCACAAAATAAATCAAATTTCTTTATGTTTCTCCTAAATTATTCTTTTTTGCAAATACAAAAACAAAATAATTTTATATTTTAAATGTATACTATTCCCAAATTTTTAAAAATGTTTGTAAAAAAATTTTTTTTTAAATAATATTCGTACCGTGATGAAAAACGCCAAATTAATAATTATATCCAAATATTTAGTTTTTATTTTACTTATATTACAAATACAGATTTAAACATTGAAGCATTTAATTATGTAAATTTTTAAATATTTGATTAAATATTTACACGTAATGTATCATCTAATTATAATACTTTGAATTTGCAAATTTTGTCGAAATACAAGATTATAATGCAAATAAGTTAATGCATAATTAATTCTCAATAAATCCACATTGATAAAATATAATTAAATTGGCAAAAATCGATATGATACTTACAGATCCCGTTCTCGCGTTTTGCTCCTCCATAATCCTCTTCACATCGGCATGTTCCAGCTTGCTGAGGGTTCCGTTTTCAATCCCGCAATTTCCATTGACGTCATCGTTCTCGGATAAGTCGCAATTCACCGCGATGTCGTTGCCCCACGTTCTCAACGAGAACTTCTTCAAGTCCACCGGACTGACCTGCCTGATATCTCTGTCCGATTCTGACAATCTTTTCGCAGTGATGTCGGAACGCAGAGTCAGCGGCGATATCGCTCTCTTTTTGAGAGTCAACGTTTCCTTCGAGTTCCCCTTCTTCGTCTCGTGGTGCCTGTCGTTTCTCAGGCGCAGCATATCTTGATCCGGAAGCGAGGACACGCTAACCAGGATTACATCGTCGGAGCTCTCGTGGAACACCGGTGTGTGTCGTTTCCTCAATAATTTCGAGAAGGGTGACTTCTTCTCCTCCGTGGGCGTCACGGGCGCCGATTTTGGCACGTGATTGTCCAACGACCTAGATCTGCCAGTCTCCTCGTTCGGGAATATATCGTCGTAATCGGGATCCATCGTCTCCCGATCATCCGGACCTCGTCGAAGCCTCTGCAGCCGCATCGCCTTTCTACGCTTTTGGCTTGTTAGATTAATGGGAAGGCTTGTTTTCCTCTCGGATCGTTGGCGTGGCGGTAATTTCGCGTTCGCCTCTTCGGAGTCCTCCTCGACGTTCCTTAAAGATCTGGCTTGGAGCGCGTCCACGTCGGCGTCTTCATTGGTCCTCAAACTTAATCCTACGGTTGTCTTTGGTGCACGGCAAGGGTTCACGCGTGTGTCCTTCGGGACGCACTCGCGCTCTAATTTCGACGGTAGACTAGAGGTGATCCGATCGATCTGGTTTCTGATCGAGCTCATCGGCAAACAATTACTGGGTTCGTCGTAGTCGGAGCTCAGAGGATCCGCATGGAACGTGGATAATCTTGGTCGGCCACGATCGTCCACGATGATATCCAGGTTCTCCGGTAGGCTGCCGCTCTTCCCTCCTTCAGGACTCACTCGATCGTGAGGCTCGTCGTAATCGGAGTTCAACAGATAACGGCGATCATCGTCGACGAAAAGTTTACCGTTCCTGCGATCTCGAAGACCCCTCTCATCTCGAAGAGGAACATGCTCGCCGTTGAATTCTTGATCGGAGCACTCACTGTCGGTTATTCCAAATTCGTTCAGCAACTCTTTGTATTGTACCACCCTGACGTCATCGTTGCTGCGCGCGACTTCCCTCGTCTTCTCTTTGGTAAGCTCGTTGATCTCGTTGGCGATGATGCTATTGAACTCCGCGAGGATGTTGTTCGACCACTCGCCGATATCCTCGCCGCCTCTCGTCAATGAATTCTGTCTCCTTGCCAAGCCATGCGATTTCGTAGCGGGCAAGGATTTCGGAATGAACGACTCATTCGCGTAGTTCGACAATTTCTCTGAATCCGGCTGAGTCGGATGCTTTGGCTCTTCTACGATGCGGAGTGTAATCGTTGGAGCTGACTCGATTATCTCACCGATTTCCTCCTACAACCAATCAGAAATTCAGAGTTTAAAATACCATTTACATCATCAAAGAAGAAGCCTCTTCACTAAGAGGTGTTTTCTTTTTTTTTTCTTTTTTTTGGGAAAAGAGCGTAATATAGTGAATAGAATATAGTACCATATGTGCCACGTAATTTAATGAGTCAGCTAAGGAGGAAGTTTCATTGGAAGTCATCGTCACTTAAATGCAGAGGTTGTCCCTCGATCGATGAGGCCGAAGAGAAACTTGCAAACTCCTACCAACGATAGATAGGTTACTACCTTTGCGCGCGGTTATCTCGCGCGTACAGTTAGCCAGCGAAACGCATTTATAAAGTGGCGCATAATGAAGCGGTTACAAGAGAAGCTGGCAGAACCGACGCGGTCCTTGATGCTCGTCATACGAATAAAACGAAGGAATCGGCCAGCTGCCGCGACTTAAGACGAGCCGATTTCAAGACGCATTCTCTTTTTCTCCTTCTCTCCCTCC